ACTGGATCAGCGTGGCCCTGGCACTTGCGCGCAGTCTAGGCGTCATTCAAACAAGAAATTCACAAACCCATGAGAAAGATGGCCACCATCAGGAAGATCAAGTCCCATAATTCGTCCATTAGGCTCTGCTATAGCAGTGTAAACAGCAAAGTTGGCTGGTACTCCAGACAACGATTGCACATTCACGCCCCATAGTTCGGGATCCAAGCCGAAGACCTTTGATAGAAACCTCATTACGTCGTCACCAAATACCAAGAAATATGGCAAATATCTACATTTCTCTGTTTTCGAAACTGCCATTTTTTGTTCTTATGGAAATATATAACCTCACCTCAAGTGCCCTCTTCTGACAAAGCAACTCCATCTTATCGATGAACTCATTTCCACCATAGTATCTAAAAATCCGGAAGAATTGGTACAATTTTATTATTGTTGAAAATTAAGACCAGGCCCTCGAAAAGAAGCTTTAAAAAGGCCGTCAAATTGTTTGGTGACAAGGAAAATTTTTTTTTCGCCATGCATTTTTCGACATTGACTTTAATTTGTAGAGCTGATTCACCTTGCACCGGGATAACCTTCGGAATATTTGTTGCACATAGCCGATCCTAAAGCATCCATGACAGATTTGGTGGTAAAGTTTTCCGAAGCGATCAACTCAAGTCCACGACGTTGACGTGCCTTCTCCTATACAAGCTTTCCAGCATACCGTCATAATTAAGTTTCGAAGCTTTTCTTACCTGCTTCATGATAGCATGTGCTTCGGGATCAACTTCGGATATCGGGTCCCTAAGCATATTCTTCCCCTGGTAAGGGACTCTCTTTACAGGAATCAATGGAGTATGAACTTGTGAAGCCATTCCAGCAGCAAGGATCTGGAAAGTCTGTCTAGGAAAAAATAGATCAAAATTGCTACAGAAACAGTGCGTCGACAAGAAGCCCTGCTTGGAATTTGACTGAAGTTAGTAAAGAGATGTACACTACCTGTACCCTCAAAAATGTGAACTCGACAGGAAAAGCTTCTTTCATGCATAAACTTGTATGCTAATTTCTGAATAGTTATCGTTTCACGATTACAAAACATTTTGAATGATTTCATGAGCATTGTTTCCTACTACTTGCGGCTCAGAAATTCAAACATAAATACAAACAAATATTCACAAAAATTTCAAACTACGCTGTTCGAATCTGTTCTTTCCAAAGATCAAAATAGCTGACACGTTTTAGCTAGCTAAACATGTTTATTTCCTGCCAATGTAGTATCGATAATCAAAAGATTCGCATGGGAGATGTTACAGAAAGAACATCATTCTTTGAAACTTCCACAGTCAAAAACACATAACTGCATTCAAAGAGGCTGCGATACCCGTGGACCGATGGGGCGGTCCTTTCTCGGAAATTGGTCAGAAAGTATCCAGAAATTGCCTACCTAAGCAGGGAAAGATACTTGGTGACCCCGGCCCTTC